TATTGGAACAAAACAAAACAAAAACAAACAAAAAAAAAAAAAAGGAAAAATTGGTAGTCAATCTTAAAGAATTCTTTATTCATTCTTAAAAACTTAAATTGATTTATTTTTTTTTTTTAAGCTTGAAAACTTTTTCTTAAAAGATTTTTGTCTTTCACACTCTCTCTTTTTGTCTTTTCTAAATTTACCACAGGAAATATAAATTGAAAATATCAATTCCTGTCAGTACACTATGATTTTTATCTGATATCATTGGGTTGAACGTTTTGAAAAATTAATATTTTCATGGTAGTAGAAATAATTTAGTGAAATAAGGAATATGGCACTAGTTTTTTAATCTTCATATTACTGAGTTCTCTTATTTTATTGTGTTGTATAACAGCTACTATGTTTAACATCTACTATATTTTTGCTGTTGGGATATGTATTAAATATTGTTTTTGAATATATCCTTCACTTCAATGATATTTGTGTTAGCTCTAAATTTGTTTCAATTCTAACATAGCCATTTATCCAATTTGTACACATTTCAACAGATAAAAGCTTTTTTTTATAGTTTTATATAATGTGCTTGAATGGAATTGTAATCCTTTAACATTTTATCTGGAATGTAAAATAAAAGCCAATATTTTAAATGTGGTAAAATCTCAAATAGATTTTGGAAATGAAGTGAGATTCTTTCTTCCATTTCTCTGCGTTCATGATAAATGGATTCCTTCCATTTGATTGTATTAAAGCTAGATTAAATTTCTATGGCTTTTATTTGAAGGTCAACACCTTGATGTAAATATGTTAAAGGCAGCATCACTAGTGATAAGTGATTTTTGGAGTCTACTTCAGCTTTTAAGAAACTTGTCCGCAATAAAGAACAACCTTGTAACTATCCATTCTTGAGATTTGACACTATTATTCATATTTAGATGTTTGTTATCATTTTATATAGACTTGAAAAACATTCCAGCTTATTCACTGAAAGTTTGCATTTTATTTAGAAGACTTCAATTTAAATTATTGAAGACAAGAAGAATGAAAAAGAGCCAGGATTTATTTTATTGCTTCTATTGTTACTGATGAAAATTTATTCTATTTCATCCTTCTGCTTTGCTTTTACAAATTGTAATCCCATTTGCCATATATATTTGTATCATTTTAATATCCTGCATCGCAAATATATTTTCAGTTGTTGACTCTCATAAGTTGAAAAACATTACATTTTCAGGGAATGTAGTGTATGTGTGTGTGTGTGTGCATGTGTGCATAACAGCTTTTCTTTAAAATATCTTATTTCAATGATCTCAAAATCAAGAATGAAAATATAATAAATGTCTGTTTTAATAGCAGTTAATCTTTAGTATTTAAATATTGCCTATTATTTCTAATTGGAGTGAGTGTGAACAAATATCTCTATGAAAAAGATTTTGAAATTTCTCTTGGCTTTGTATCCACAGCAATTGGAAATAAAAAAAAAAAAAAATAGAACCAATGTGATCTCTTTAACATTGGCATTATGCTCGTCGTTGTCATTTTTCCTGACCTACTCTTTACTTTTCAATTGTTGATCATTTCTTAATTTCTATAATTCATTTGTTCACTTGGCTCAAGTAGCCTGCACTTCATTATTCACTGCTATGCAAAAGTAAATGCAACATGTCACATGCTTGATATCATCAGCTGTGTTAAATTTGAGGCTTGTATATTTTTATCTGAAAACTTCAGTCGAGCCTCCTCTACAATCATGCTCTTAACTCTTGTTGTGTACTGCTTCTTTTAGCAAGCTATTTAGGTAACCACTGCTATGAATGTCCTGCATGCATGTAGGCACTTTCATATTTTGTCTACACATACAAGTGCATATTTTGATACAACAGTTTTTCATAACATTTCATTCCATTTAAAAATCAAATTGTAAAAGCATGTAAGAAGCAAAAATAATTATTGAATATAAGAATATGTTATGGTTATAGTTTACCTACTTCCTTGTTGTCTCCTAATGTTTTCGTATTACCAAATTGGAATTTAAAAAAATTTGATAAAATCTGTCCTTCCTCAAAGATGATTTAAACTCTTAACGTGTTTTCTTTTTTCTTGTCCTTGCCACTGTCTATCTCACATATTAACTCTTGAATCAGTTACATTGTCCATTTCAGCTAAGAGACAATTTGTATATGAATCTTGTTTTCTAATTCTGTTAGAATAAAAATTAGTTTGTGTTGTATAATTATTTTTATTATTAGCATTGACTAAGAAAGTCAGTTTGAATATTTGGTGTAAGTAATTGTGTGGAAGGTTTTATATATTTATATTTTCATTTTTATCTGTAGATATCTCTTTTCTAAGTCGATATTGATCAAGTGGCTTGTTTCTGGAAATTTGCTTTTTTTTTTTTTTTTTTTTTTTTTTGATAAAATCATTTTTCTCTCTCACTGACACTGATACACCTGACTTGAAAACAGGGCATTGTGTTTATAAATAACTCTACACTTTAATAGATTTGAACTAAACTTGTCAAAAATGATCATTGGATTACTGTTAAATTATAGAATTATAAAGTGTATTTGTGATGGTTGAAACTTGAATTTATACTGATCAAGTCAGCTTTGATTTTGTGTGTGTGTACAAACTGTCTATCATTTCACATTTGGCTTAAGTCTTTACAGCTTAAAAGTGATAAATGAGGAATAATAATCTCCTTAGTCCATTAACACAGATTCATATTGAAAATTGTTTAATAATAATAAGGCTATAATACATAAAACATTTGGGGGGTGGATGAAGATGTTTTGAAATTGAATTTTCATTTTTTCATTGAAACAAATAAGCATTCTCTTTCTTTGCAGTATTTAAAAGTATTTTATGCATGGTATAAATTCAGTTGTATTAAATCATGTATTGCAGCTTTTCAGCTGTCATCATTTTTATAAAATTTTGCTACTGATTCATTTTTTCTTTATAGCAAATAGTTTCTTTTATATTATAAATTTCCAAAATGATTTGGTACTTTAATGTTAAAAAATCAGATGAAAAAGTGCTTGAAACTCTGTTCAAAGTAAATAACATTTACTGTATCTTTAAGGAATTAAAAATATGGCTTTATTTTATACTGGAAAAATATTTGAACATTTTTGTTGTCTGTGATAATGAAGTTTTCCAAACTTCCTACTAGAAACTTTTTAGTTAGCTTTAAGTAAATTTTTGTTGGTGCATTTCAATATCTTAATAAATACTATGGAGAAAAAATTGTGAATGCATTGACTTTTTGATAGTGATGTCCTTATGCTTTTAACCTGTACTTCTTTTAAAGAATGTATATAGTCAAATATGATAGATATGTATCATCAAAAGCAAATCTTAACTTTTTATGCATATCTTCTCGGTTAATCTACTTTTTTCTTTTGCAAATCATACTGGTATTATAGAGAATGTTAAGCTGCTTCTTACGCAACTTATTCAATTTTTCAGTTTAATTTTTCACAAACCCTACAAGATTCCAGTATATAAAGATACTTATATCAATATATTCAAAAGAATATATGAACTATCTTCATAACAGAGTAGATATTACTTTATGACAATGTATAAAAATCCTATATAAACTATGTAACAGGATTTTATAAAAGTAGTCTGAAAACTGGCCAAACACTTTCATTCCATTGATATTTTTTTTTTTTTTTTTTATATAATCGATTGAATGAAGAGTTTGAAAATATTTAAAGAACTTTTGAAGCAGACTCATATTATTAAAATTATTAAATAGTTTTAATAATGTAAGGATGTATTTGGTTTAACAAAAGACTATATAACAAGTTTTTATAAATATTCTGTTACAAATATTAGATTTAATGTTAGACAAAATACCTTTTTCTTTGTATTTAATTTGATATTTAAACAATAGGCCTCTTTCAAATGTTATGAATTATTTGCCTGATGTATAAGAAAAATCTCTGCAGTTATTTTCATTTTGTCTTTTGTGATACAGGCTTGTGTTTATTGCCAAAATTAGAATTATTGAGCCCACTGTAAAGAGAGCATGAAATAAAATATTTTTCATTGATATACAAAGGTCTTTTAATAATGTAGGGAAATCTACAGAAATTTTGTAGAAGACATACGTTTTGGCTATTTTAATAGATTACAAAATTGTAGAAAAAACAATTGTCAGATAATAGCTTGGAAAAATACATAAAAGTCTTTAAAATCAAGATTTAAATTTTCCAGACTTAATTAGTTTGAAATTCTAATGACATCTATACAAGGGTGGACCATGGCATTGAGACATAGTTATTAACAGAATTTTAATAGTATATTTGATGTGATTAATAGATAAAGGAGATTATTCTGAAAAATAGATATTTGTGCAAAATGTGCCTTTTCATTATTAGGCTTATTGACTTACATATGTAAATTATGACTATACTTACTGGCATGGCTCAAGTAGTGTAGACAGTGTTATTAATTTTCAATTTAATGTTCACTTATAGATGGCGATTTAGTCTATAATTTGATGCTTGTTTCTTAATTATATTATTTTTATTATAATATAATTTCCATGTTAAACTGAAATGAAGTTGTGACAAAATATATTTTAATGTTTTATGTATGAAAAAGTGAACAAAAATATAAAACTTTTATTTTTCTTTTGAAAATTTAAACTGAAAATTTTGTAGAGAAGTTGAGATTTTTGTTTCTCTATGCTTCCATTTAGCTAAATTATTTAAAGAACCAACAAATATCAAACAAAATAGACTGAGTATTCCTAATGTTTCAGCATTATTTGAGAAATTATTGATATACTGTATCAGTCAGTTTTTTTTCTTTTATAATTATGATAGTGATTTGGGGATAAAAATTTTAACAATTTTTTTTCATCATCCTTATAATTTTTCATCATGAGTATCATCTTTTTCATCATGTTTCAATAATCTACTAATCATACTGTGAGACTGGATGATATTGATAATAATTCAATATGTGCAATGCATGGTGTTGTTTGCTTGCTGTAGACTCTGCTGACCAAAATAGGTATATAAACACCAGTGTTGATTCTGAGCCTGATGCAGGCCAGACCAGCCCAGAACCAGTTATTCCAGTCACTGAAAATGGTTAGTATATTGATTCTATCTGTATACTGCTGCTTTTAATTGCTGCTGCTTCTTTTGCTTTTGTCTCCATTTTTCTTTTTCTTCTCAATCTGTTCATTGTCTTTATAATGAGACAGCCTTATGAATAAAATAAAATGTGTATAATTGAAAATCTAACTAAACACTCTGACATTCATTTAGCACCATCCATTCATATACGATGGTGAAATACATGAGGTGGCAGGTGGGTGGGAGAAATTTAACTTTATTATACTTTATAGTAAACAGATAGCATCTTAAAAATCCTTAGATTAAAATATTTTGAAATCTTAAATGTTTGTTAATTGTTATTAAGTGGAATAGAGAGCAATATACCAATATTAAAGAAACCTAGCAGAGTAACATAAACAAACAACTGTTAATCATTTAACATAATATTATATAATTGTATCTGTAGTGTTATAAAGTTTGGAAAAAAAAAATTCCTTATAAACACTCAGAATTACAATTTATTACCTAAAAACTTGATAATACTAAATTAACTATTGAAACTTTGAATAACAACTTTATTAATGTTTGTCTTTTCCATGTCAAGATAAAAATACAATATTTTCTTTCTCTATTGGAAAGCATGTTTTTATCTTAACATTATTTTTAATTCTGCACAGAGAATTACAAACTATTTTTGAATGCGTAAATGTTGCACATCAAAATTCTTAGTTCATTTCTAATTTATATATATCTATATTTCTCATTTATATATTAAAGGTGAATTCATTTTTAAATAACATTTATTTACAGAAGACAATTGAAAAAGCATATTGTATTTAATTTGAATTAGAATTGAGTTTTTTTTATATGCATTAAAAAACTTGGTCAATAAACATTGATTGTGAGTGGGGTCAAAACAATGTTTGAATATTCTTATTTAATATTATTTATATTTGGACTAAAATCTGTTAGTCATTGTAACAAATGTAAAAATGTTTTTTCTAAAATATGGAAATTAAATTTTTGTAATTTCATAAATTTGAGTATATTTGTAATAATTTTACTTTTAAAATATCCACCACTTGATAGACAATGGTCTTATTAAATCAATAATATATTTAAATTGAATTATCCCTTGTTGATTATTATAAGATATTGTCAAGTTTCTGTTAACTATAAGAATCAATTTAAAAACGTTTTTTTCACTTTTAAATTTATCAATGTTACATAAATATTTCTCCATACAAGTGAAATTGGTTTTATTCTGGCTTGTTGAGGTAAGCATCAAGTGAAAGAGACTATTTCTTGGCTTGTTTTATAGCTTGAAAAAGATTTTATCAGAGTTCAATATTAACCAAATATTTATTATTTAAATAGTTTAGATTAAAGCATTCTGATAAAATATTGATTTAAAACAGAATTCAAATTTTTTCTTAATTTTTTCCATTTAAAAATTTCAATGAAAACTTGCAAAACTCAAATCTTTCTGACATTACTTTATATCTCTGTTTTCAATACTTTTTTTTTATAGATATGTTAAACTGTTATATAACTCTCATTACTTATCTCAATTTCCAAATCTTATCACAATTTCCAAATATTTTGGCTTCTGCCCTTGAAATTTAAACAATGCTTGCATGTATCTGAGTGGCTTTAAATTCTAATTTATCATAAAATTACTGAGTGGCTTTAAATTCTAATACCCTTTTCTTCTCCCAAATATTTGTCATAAATTAATAAATGAGGTGATTCTAAGCATTTGGTTGAATTTCTTTGCTTAACAAACTACTAACCTTTATTGATGTTTTTTTCACTTAATAAAATAAATATTTTAATGAATTAAATTATTTTAGTTTTTTTTTTTTGCTTTCTTACAACTGGTACAAGTATTTTTCACATGCATTTGTATATCAATTTGGATTAATTTTTTTTTTTTTTGCATATTCATCATATGAATAGCTTTCAACTTTAAAATTGTTTGTGCTGCAAAAAATATTTAAATGTTATGCAACCTGTTTCTTAAAAAAATTCAAATTTTTGATGTAATCATAGTAAATTTGCAGGTCTTTACACACAAGTTTAATTTCTGAGTATTCCATAAATTTGGCCTTCTGCTGAACTTGTCTACAGTCAATAAATATCTACAAAATAATATTTGCAAATTATTAATAATGCAATAATTTTATATTTCAAGAGCGTTTAAATTGATAATCTCTTTTGCTATTGATGATATTTCCTTAAAATAATTTCATTCCCCCCCCTTTTTTCTATTATGATTAATCTTTTTTGATCTACATACAGCGACAGATTCTGCATTAAACAAATTAGCCCTAAAAATAGATTGACCAGAATGCTGGTGTAGTGGAGAAACCAAAAAGAAAGATGAGATTAAATAGTCAAAATAACTAATGATTTATCTTAAAATCTGATTAAAAAAAAAAAAAAAATGCAAATATGTATTACTAAGAAAAAATTAAATGCTTTAGGTTTGGTAGAATTTATTGATAATATTTGACTCATGCAGTTTATTTCTACTTGCTACAATAAGAGGTAGGAGTTCTATTTCATTAAAAATGTTTTTTTTGTTTACAAAAATATTTATCAAAACCATAAGGTGTTACACTGGAATAAGTATTTGGGATTATTTACATTTAAATTGAATATTTATTTAACAAATTTGTCATTAATATTTTTTGTTTAGAATTTTGGGTCTACATTTTTTCCCTTTTAGTAACATTGAGTAACGTTTCAAGTATTGAAGAAAGAAAAAACGATCATTAAACCTTGTTTTTCCTGTCTCACAGCAACTCTTCCACAAAATCAGGCTTTTAAAGAAGATAATGACTCAATACCTACAGTGACTGTTACTCCAGTTAGCTCTGGTTGGTATTGCTAATGGTTGCAGCATGGTGTTTTATATGGGACTGATCATGTTAGGCTGTAGTAGTCACTAAACTCTTAGTCATTCTACTTTTTTTCTTAGCTATTCGATTTGTTCTACTAATCTTACTCTAAATATATTTTCTTGCTTTTTCATCTGAGAGGGAAATCTTTGACTGATTTTTTTTAAGCTGTTTTTTTTTTTTCTTTTTTTAATATCAGGTTAGAAATTGAATCTGTATAAGCAATACAATTGGTAGAAAACAAACTGGTATTAGCCAGCAATTTCCATCCATCTAGTTTCTAAAGATAGTTTATACAAAATCATTAGCATAAAAACAATGGAGTTGTTTCTGATTTATATAAACTTTAATACGAATTCTTTTTCATTGTACCATACGGAATAAGTATATAGTGACTGAATAACTTATTGAAATGATAATTTATTTATTTTCAATTTATGGTGTGTTAATAATTTGTCAATGTCCTATTCAAAAACTTTAAGTATATATAGGTATAATGTATGTGTGTGTGAAAATATAAAATAATCCACTTATAGACAGAGTGAACTCAGTTTTATCCTTCAATATCATTTCCTGACCAATGTTTATGCTGTCTATATCAATAAATTCTCTATCTATATTTATTTTACTAACTAATGCTAAGCTATTCTTGGTCACTTCTCTCACCAATTAAACCATAGCTGAGAGTAGAAAATATGGATTCATGCCTTTCCCTAGAGAATAGTGGAGTAAGTATTAAATAGTAAAGTTAAAACCATTTAGTTATATTACTTTACCAATAAACATTAATTTGTCAAAATTTTGTATAGGGTTATGTTAAAAATTTTTCCTGGCTGTGAAACATAAGCAATTTTGTTGCCAATAGTAATACTCATTACTATTTGACATGCTAAAATATTTCTTAAAGGTTAAAGATATATCATGAGTAGGAAACATAGATTTATATCAAGTATAGATATTTTTTTTTTTTTTTTTTTTTTTTTTAAATAATTTTTTTTACCATTGAAACCTAGAAGCCCTCTGAGCATTAGCAGAAAAAAATGAAACTTTTTTCTACTTATGCAAAATCACCTTAAGTGATTTGAATTGTTTCTGAGACACACTGATCATAACCTTGATCTTCAGTTGGTGAGGTGTTATTCTCCCAAGTATGTATAAAATTAAAATATTGAGTTAAAGGTGATATATTTAATTAAAAAAATAGAAGTAATTAGGAGCATAGCTTAGTAATTGAACTTCATCACCATAAAAACAACTTAAAGAAGGAAAACTAGCATTTCAAGATGTGTATCTTTTATTTTATTGAAATGAAAGAAAAGTTTTCACTTCCTGGTAATTATTTCTATTTTTTTGCATTTTAGTATCCCAGGAAGATGTGCAGGTGGTGCAATGGATAGCGGCTCTGAATGAGAAATCACAGAGCCAAATTAAAATTCCAGTCGAGTTTGTTACATTCACTTACACATAAATACCATTGGGAAAGGTATCTTTCTCTTCCCGGCTATGGGTTAAATAGTAGAGCAGACTGGGCTCTTCAGCCTTGGTTGGCAACCAGTCTCAGAGAATGACAACTCTTAGTTCAAAAACTATATGTAGCCCTAGCAAAGCACATATGCTGCTAATGTATGAATTCACAATGATTATGATCTTTACTAGTTGGCTTTAGTGAAGCTTTAAAAGTAGTATTTAGTTGTATTTTTTTTTTAACTATTAAAGGACTTAATTTTATCCCAGTTGTTAATGCTAGAATAGAAGAAAATATCCCCACTTAACAAAAAAACAAACTCTAGTTTAATAAAGTAAACTATCTATTATGTCTGTTTTGTTAGTCATCCAACAAGGTCTGTCTATTTATTTTTTCTACTGTATTTATTCAAAAAATAAAATAAAAACGGACAGATCTTGTTGGTTGAATTTGAATTTAAAAATGTGTAACATTTCATTAAACAATTCAACTTCCATTTTCCATTTATTTATTTATTTTTGTGTGTGTGTTTATAAGTAAGAATATGAATAAATATTTTGTATTAATTATTAACAAACTAGCTTATAACAAAAATTATTAAAGAATGCAAATTAGTCTAAAATGATATTTTATCAAAACATTGTTTCAAATTAATTATTTAGAAACAAGCTTAAGCTAAACAATTTAGGCTATAATTGCTGCTAAATTGATGTCAATCTTAGACTTTGAAAATATTTCATATTGTCTAGTTCATTTTTTTTTTTTTTTTCTGTTTTGGCTTTGAAATTTTTTAATACAATGATTTAAGAATTATAAATATATTATTTTTCCATTTTAATAAATATCATTTCTTCACTTATGTAATTAAAGATCATTTTTCTGGTTTAAAAATAAGGATATTTAAGACTACAGGAAAAGTTGTTGGTCTCCATTTTATAGGAAATGTAAGTTTCTAACCTTGGATATTTTTTTTTTTTTTCTAATGCAAATGTTTTTTCTTTTTCTTTTTGGAAACATTTTTTCTTTGAAAGAATTCTACAAATATAATTCTTTCAATAATAAAAATACTTTAAAGAAAGTTACTTTATTTCACATTTATTTATATTTTATTGCTTGATTTTAGACATTTTTTTGACTGGAATTTTTTTTTTTTTTTTAAGTAGTTGTAGCTGCTATTTGTATTTGTGTAACTAATTTTGCTTTTGAGAAAAATAGCATGAAAATTATTACAACTTGTGAGAAAAATTATCAAATGACATTTGTATGTTTGTTATTGTTTTGTGTCTAAAATATTTTTAAGTTATTTATTTTATATTTATTTTAAAATTTTTGTTTACTTTTATTTTTTATTTGTAAAGTGAGGTCAAAATTATCTTTTTAAAATTCTCAAAATTCTTAATTTACTTTCAGGATTAATTACAATGTCATTAAAAATAATTCATTGTTACTATATTTTCATTGCTAAAGTTAATACTAAGAATTTGGTTATTATGCTACCTGATTAATTGTATTGACTGCAGTTTTGTGGATTTTTATAGCATTTAAGTCTAGAATGAATCAGAACATTTTTCTTTGATATATTACTTGATTAGGAAGAATGAGTTAATGCTTAAGTTGTCTCTTGACTCATTAAAATCTCATTAATAACTGATTAATTAATGCAATACTTTAGTGCATGTCATGCTTCTAATATATTAATTTTTAAACAATAAAATTAATTTGTAAATTTTAACATCAATCAACTTTTAATCTTGTTTTCAATAATTATTTGATGGTACGTGATTTATAGCATGAAGAACTGGAGGCATGTTGATAGTTAGATTCAAAAAAGAGGATATGAACCACTTTTTTTTATTTGACAGTAATTTTCAATGTCTCCACTTCATGTTATACATAAAACTTGTTTTTGTATCTACCATTGCCTCTTCTATTTAGAGTTTTTTTTAATTTTTTTATTTTTTTTTTATTTTAAATCATTTTGGTTTGGAATTTCTCAGATATTGCCTGTATTATGAGCTTCATCTACTAAATAAAAAAAATTGTATCTTTTGTTGTTTATTTTTAATATAACTTCAATTTGATTTCATGAAGTTTTTCATTATTTATATATTATATAAAGATGTAGGTTTCTGTGTAACATACAATTTAAGCAGTTTGTGTCTTTAAAAGCAAAATGAAGAAATGTAGTAGAGGGAGGAAAAAATTTTTAAAGTCTTTATCTTTCTCAGTTGAATTGGTGTAGCTGATAGTTTTGTTTATAGAATTATATTCCAGTTCTTTTGTCTTAATCCAATAGATAAATGAAAGACATCTTGTGTCGTTATCATCATCATTATTGTTAGTATCGGAGTGAATCTGTTGCTATTTTATATATATATATAATTTTTTTTTTGCACATATTCAAAGCTGTTAATTTGTATGATAAAATTAAGGAGGAATACATTTTAAATGACAGACAAAGAAGGCAGATGGAATTAAGGGAAACACTGGTTATTAGATACACCAAAATATGATTTTTTTTCCAGTTATTGTGAAAAATATTTTTTTTGTTTTATATAATGTTGAATTTTCTATTGCAGCTCATCAAACATTAAAAAAATGTTTAATATACATGCAAAAAAAATGTTTTAAAACTTATCAGTTCTGTACATATTGATTTCAATCTATCAGTTCTCATTTCTCTTTATCAAATATTTTCAGAAAGTTTAAGTTAGTGAGAAAAATAAATTTCTGCTACTTGTTTTATATTTCATAGATTTATATTTAAAATTTTATTGGTTCTGTTTCCTTTTTTTTTTTTTTTTTTTTTAATTCAGTTCTTTTTAGGTTCATTTTTATCCTTTTTCTTGAAGGTGTTTCTATCTTTCTAAAATGATTTGCAAGAAATAGTGACTTGTGATGTTACTACTTATGTATCTTGGCAATAAGAAAATCTTTTTGGAGCTAATTAAGAGTTTTTGATTATTAAACTCAAATAATACTTTTTAAACTCATTTTGTACAGATGAGTAGAAGTAGCAAACTCACTTGGGATTAAAATATGATTTCTGAATGTTTTGTAGATTTTGGTTTCAAATGAAAAATTTTCTAACTTCTGAAACAATTACTAATGTATATGATATAAAGTTGTAACTCCTACAAACATTATGGATTTTCTTACTTGAAAGGTTTATATTTAATACTTTGGCTAGTACTAGAAATGAAATAAAAGTAGTATAAACATTTATTTCAATTCTTTTTAACATCATTTTATTCCTAATCAGCAGAAATAAAATGATTTTTCCTATTTTCCTGAAAAGTATGTCTCATTCTACCCATTTGAGCCAAAAGTAGAACTGTGAGATAAAAAAAAATTGAATTATAAGTAATTATCCCTTTTAGAGAAATTGAAGTGGCTTGAATAAACATGGGAACTGAATGACTTTCCAAATATAAAATGAGTAAACAATATATCCGACTTGGAGCAACAGCCATTTTTTTTTTACTAACAGAACCATATTATGAAATATTCATTACTATGTTTATTTATATTCTAGAGGAACATTGAGATTTGCAATGAAATTAATGCACTCATGCCATGTTTTGAAGTCCTCAATGTTTTTATCTATTGTTGAATTGTTTTGTATTGAAATTCTATTGCATGTTTAGCTTTTCTCTCCTGTCATTCACAATTTTTCTGATTTAATGTTGTTACCAAAATAATGCATGTTAATATTGCTTATGTGTTGCACATATTATACACGTTTTTATTTGCATGTTTATCAGTTTCTGAAAACCTATCACCAGCCTCCTCTCTTCAGAGAGCCGAATCTGAGAGACAACCTCGCCCACCTGAATGTAAGTCGGAGATTATGCTGCAGTTGTTTAGAGGAAAAGCAAAAATAGTATTTAAAAAATCGTTTTATTACTTTATTCTCTATAAAATATATTTTATAGTGAAAACAAGATAATGCTGTATTTGCCAAGATATTTTTGTAATTAATTTGAAGCAAAAGCTAGTTTTTTGCTGTAGAATTCTTTTTGACTCATTTTAAACTACCATTAAAATTTTAAAGTATCAGAATATAATCTGTTTTGAGTTGTCTTTATAATAAATATTGACACAAAGTTCTTAAAGAACTAGGATTTAAGCAATCAATTAAAAAAAAAAAAAAGTAATATAATACATTATACTAGGATTTATACAAATTTAAATTTGTCTATATTTAAAATAGATGTTCTTATGAGCTAAATCAAATTTTTAGTAAAAAATAACACCAGTGGTCTGGACACTTTTTTTCTGTAAACTTAAGAAATAACTTGTTTTACTTTTAGATAGTAGTCATGTTTTCATTATTTTTAAAATACCAAAATATAAGTATTGTTAATTTTCAATTTATCAAAACTAATAAAATTGAATGAAGAGAATGAAAAAAAATTACTTTGATGTTGATGATCATAGCTTTCTACAACTTGCATTCTTTTAATATCTACAAATTGCAATGAATGGTAGTCCAGTAATTTCTTATTGCTTTCTTCACAGATTTTTGAATTCGGAATTGTCAAGAGCAGAGCTAGAGAGCCCAGTATATTTTTCTTATAAAACTCCTAAGAAAGCTAGTGGAGATGTCAATATATGAAAAACATTAGAAATAACAGGACACCATAAATAACTAGGGAAAATGTAGGTGGCTAAGCATGAATTATAATTGACATGACTTAATAGACTATTAAAATGGTTAAGATTATAGTAAAATAATGTACAAAATATTTGTATATTACTTTGTGAAAAATATTTGAAAGATTTTTATTTTTAATAGTTTTCATGAATAGTTTTCATGTATTTACAATTTAGCTGAAATGGTTAAAGTTTAAAATTCTGATCTTTATTTTTCCTTTAAATTATACTTTATAAAAGAATATCAAATGATAGTAATTTTATTTCAACAAGAATTATTTATTTTTTTGAGTTCCAGTTTATGTAATTAGAAAAAAGTAACATCAAATGTGTGGAATCATGAAAATTGATGGTAAAATTAATCTAATAATTAAAATTTGTACTTTGTTCACATTTATTCTGTTCTGTCATCTTTGATGTAATGATGTAATTTTAAAGAGGAAATTCAGTTTAATACTTATGCAGTATATGTGTATCAAGTGTTTGTCAACTTTTGTGTCCATGATTACTTTATAAGGATTCACTCTGTTCAGTGAAAGATGAACATTATTGGGTAGGTGAGTTGGAAATTAGTTATAATATTCAAAAATGTAGTGGTAATGTAGTGTGTATATTATTAAAGCTTTGTTTTCAAAAACTTAGAATATAATCATTATGACCATAAATCAACATTTGAAAATGGCTCATCTTAGAAGGTCTTATTTTATGCAAATTGGCACAAGAAAATTGAAGAACAGGTCTACTGTTGTAACATTTTTAAGTGTTGCTAAATAAATAAATCAGTCTTAAAAATAAATAACATTCTTTTTGTGTGTGTGTGTGTGTGTATATATATATATATATATATATATATATATATATATATACACACACACACACATCCAAGTATAGGATTGGTGTATATGGAATAAATTCCAATAACCAAAAATACTATTCTTAAGAGTGCTCACTACAGAGTAGAGCAAACATAACAAAAATTACTACAAAAATAGCCATTTTGTTTCAACACTGCTGGTGTCTTATCAAGTGATGGTGTTGAATGTAGAACACCAGAAGTGTTGAAACAAAATGGCTATTTTGTAGTGATTTTATAACATGTTTGTTATATATATATCTCATAAATTTTTAATTTTAATATATATTTCTAATTATATGTATATTTTTGTATCCATGAAGATAATGGAATATTATTTTTTTATCTTTTATCTTTGACTGATTACTTATTTTTTTTTACTGCTTCACTTGAATGTTAAAATTTTCAGATAAGTTTAAGATAATTATTTATATTAACCATTGTTAATTTTTAAAATTGAAAATTTAAAACGTGTACCTTTGACATTATCTGGCCACCTGAAAAATTTATTTTAGAGACTGACTTGATTAAGCCATTGTAGAAATACAATTGTATTTAAAAGAATTACTGAAGTACAATAGGTTAAGTTTTATAGCAATGATTTCATTCTGAGAATGGTTTTTCTCATTTTATCAACGCAAATAAACTTTCCACATCAATTGAAATCCTTAAGGGTTAACGCAAGATAAAATGAAAGAGATTGCATATTTTATTTTTAAGCAAAATCAAGGAAATATTTTTCTTAGAAAAATAGACACGTTAATTTGATTATTTATTTTCTGATAATCTTAAATGTAGATCAAAGAAAAGTTATTTAATCATGGTGGTTTTAAATTATTTTTACTTGGTTAGTACTAGATCATTAGAAAAACTGATTAATTCAGAATTCTGGAATTATTGTTCTACCTACCCAAGCAGAATATCCCATTTCTCTCCCTGTATAAAGCTGTGCATCTTTCATTTGTGCATGCCTCTTCACTTCCTCTTTTCCTTTTCTCACTAAACCTATTTTTTTCTTTCTGATGCTGCCTTTGCTTGATGCATGTTTTCTTTGCTGTTTTGTTTGTGTAGTGATCCATGAACTGCAGAGACGCAACTTGGAACGGTCAAAGTCTGACCGGCGACCTGGTAAGGCAAAGAAAAACAAACAAACTATACTTTGCAATGTCTATCAGCACTGACAAAAAATTGCTTATTCTTGGCTGTGGTTTTCAGTTTTTTTTTTTTTTTTTTTTTTTTTTAAATAAAACAATTTATAAAATTGTTTTTTATTCTCATTTTGAAGTATTTTGTTTGGTTTATAAAATTCTATATTGTTGGCTCTGGAATTTTTTCTCTTTTACTGTGCTTTTAAGCTTAAAGCTAATATATATCAGCAACTTTTGAACTTAAGGCTAATATATTGGTGACTTATGAACCTGAGTTAATATTATGTTAAGCTATAATTTATTTTTTTGTTTATCAACCTTATTTTTCAAAGTATTACAATTAGTTCCCCAAAACTGAAATTATTAAAGATTCTAATATATCAACATAGCAATTATAAAAACCCATGAAATATCTTTTCTGAGTATTTTAGTTATCTTTTATAATTGTTCCTAAAATAAAATGATTCAAACAGATTTCTTTAAAAAAAAAAAATGGTATAGAATTCTAAAGACAGGAAAATTGTTTCAATTTATGTGCAAGGTGATTAAACATCATATATAAATATATCCAGTATTCACTTGTTTATAATCTGCTTCAAATCTTAGCAAATCTGTATTATTTTTAATCTATGGAAAGAACATAGAAATCTCTATTAATTGGTTTAAATATTCAATAGAAATAGATTTATTTATCTTTCTGATGGATGATATTAAGAAGGTAAGTTATAATATTTCAGTATCTGAATAGCTGGCAAAAAACTTACAGGCTTTACTCTTTTAAATCTTTTACTTGTTACACAATTTATTAGATGCCCAGTCATGATTTTTGGTTGCTTGATTATTTCTTTAATCTCTGAAATTATTTATTGAATTTTCTCTTCATATAATGTTTTTTCTTTTGGTCAAAAATAAACTTTGGTTCATCACTGTTACTTTGTGGTATCTTTCCCTTACTTGGTGTTTTGAGGTTTGTTATGAGTTTGTAGATATATTAAGAAACCAAAATAATATCCTAAAAGTGTCTACTGATTGGGTGCATGTATTTACACTTCTCCTCTCCCCTCTCCACATTTGCAAATCTTTCCTGCCTTGCTCTTAACAATCATTGATTCAGATTCTGAAATGCAGATTGGTGAAAAAGGTAACTTGCACTTTCCTTTGTTCTGATATTTTTTTCCTTTATTGCTCTGCAGCATTATCTAGGATTTAGGGTATATTAGTAATCACAAACTCTTACATTCAGCTGGATTAAAAAACAAAAAAAAACAAACATTTTTTTAGACACACACTCTATCAGATTTTTTTATGCAAGTCACTATTTTCACAATAAAATTGATATTAACTGAACGATGCTGGTAAAATTATGTAAGTTCCAGTTTATAATATCTATTATCTATCCTTATTAAAATAACTTATTTTCTGGAGATGTCAGATTTTATTATGCAAAGTGTAGTATAAATTTTTATTTATAAATATATTCAAAAGATATAGCCCATGGAAATATTTATTTAACACAATATCCTTTATATCTGAATAAATTGTTTATTATTGTAGTAGTTTTTATTGCTTCTCAGAGATCTTTGCTTAAATATTGTTTTCCATTTTTATATGCATATCTTTAAAAATACAACAAAACAAACCCCTTGTACAAGACTTGCTTATGATCCTGTTAAGTTTTTTTTCAAATCTTTTTTTAAAAAAAAATCTTTAAAAATAAAGATTTTTTTTTTTTGTTCTCATCTTATCAGTGTTTTCAATTTCTTATTTGATTATTCTATTCAACTTTTTGGCAATTTCCAATATTGTATTTTCATCCCAAAGTAGCTTACAATATTTTTTTTTTTTTTTTTTTTAAAGGTTTTTATATATATATATATATATATATATATATGTGTGTAAATGAGGTTAAAATTTAGGTGTTGAGCATCTCTTATGTTTAATATTTTAATTAGTTTACTGTAGCCGTCATTTGTTTTATTTCTTTTTTTTTTATATATGGGATTGAATCCATGAATAAAAGTTATGTCTGATCGTTTCTGAACAAAATGTGTCAATACAGTTTTCTATTTTACTATTTATTTACCCAAATAAGATAATGTAAATATTTCTAATAAAACATAATTTGAAATACATTATGATATATTTATCATATGTTTATACTGAGTTTTGAAAACATCAATTAGTTAATACCAATTTTATTATAAAAACTTTGATTTGCATAATAAAATGTGATATAGTGTACACTTCTCACTTTGACATGTACAGTTGTTCTAAGACAATAGTTTTTATTCTTATCACATATTGCAGGTTGTAATGTTTTGTATCATCTGTGTGTGTGTATTTTTATGGTTTAAATATGAAGAGGAAACTGAAATTTTTCTCTTTAAAAATTTTATTTTGAAGGATTTTTTTACATTTTGATAAAAGGTTAATTTTATTTTATTTTTCACTTGATAAAATGTCTTTCAGAAAAATGTTTTTTATTAGTTAATTGTTTAATAAGTTTGAATCTGAGTTTCTACTTATCTAGAAATAATCTTTTATAGATAGATACAACCAGATAGATAAATAAATAGAACCAGTTAAATATCTTTGTAATGGTTTCAAAGACTTTTTAAAGAAAATTTTCAGTTACTGTAAAGCAGCACAAATCAATATATTTAAATTCTTACAATACTAAAATTTCTTAAAAACTATATTTAGTTATAAATATTGAAAAATTAAACAAAAGGTTAATGTAATTTTATTTGACAAGATCTTGGCAAAACACATATACATATGAACAAGTTGATATATGAGTGAATATATCTTTACTTATCTTAATCTCTGATTAACCATTATATATTAGAATTTGCCATTCAAAAACCTTAAACAGTGTGCATTTATGTTTATGGTTTCTGAATAGAAAATTGTCAAAAAGTGAATTATTTTTAGAATGAAGAAAAATCTTTGCTTTCCATTCTTTTTTCTTTTAAGTTTGTGCATATTTTTTTCTTTTTTGCTAAATTCTAAGATATGTAATTTGTAAAGTATACACTTTATTCAAATTAAAAAAAACATTTTAATTAAAATCTTTTTTAAAATTTTAATATAAAATTTTGTGTGTAATTAATAAAAGACCATGTGTGCTACTTTAATCTGTTGAAGTTAGTCTAATTTTTGGAAAGAAAAACTCTTGAAATGAGCAGTCAATCCTGTGTAGTAAGGATTTGTAGAATAGTATATATGAGTAGATGCTAAAACAAAAAAAAAGAACACTTCCCAAAATCTTATCAAATGTACAAACACCAAATCTTTGTTTCTTTTCAGCACCCACTTATATTTTTTATAAAGTTATTTCACTACAATGTTGTTTTGAATGACATTTACGACCATCTGAATGAAAACCATTAAACTTATGCAAGTAGCTTGAAATTTATTTTAGTATTATTGGCTTGATAAATACTCTGCATCTGTTCATAAAGATTTTTCTTTTAAGAATAGAAAACTTTCATAATAAATTATCTAGAAGAGGTATCTAGAAGATTTTACTTGCTTAAATTTGAATTTTACCAAATTTTTAACCAGCAAATTAGGTAACAGCTCTATCACTCTTAGGTATATTTAAAATTAAAAAAAAAACAAAACTTTTTTGTTTCTGTAATGTTATTCTGATTTTCTATTGTTTGACATTGAAGGGCATTCTTATCTCATCATAGAAAATTTTAATGTTTATTAAAAACATTAAAATTTTCTATAGGTTGTTCAAAGATTTTTTGAATGTTTGTCTGACTTGATCCACAGTTTATTTTAGTAGACTGAAGTTGATTTAGTTCATTCTTTCCTATTTTCAAATTTGTTTTTAAATAGGTGAGAAAGGTGATGATGAAAAACCTGGATCTCCTGCCAAGTCAGACACTTTGCGGTCAACAGACAGTGCCAGTGGAGGTGAAACTCTGGACGACAGGAGCAGCAAGGAGGTAAGTCACAACTGTCTCTTCATTGAAAAATTCTTAAACATACACACAACTATTTTGGGATATATTCCTTTGTTTTATAGAAGAAAATTTAAATTTAAAAATAGGACAATTGTTTTATTATTTATATTTTTAATACATTAAAAAATATAAATAATAAAACAACTGTCCTATTTGTAAAAAAAAAATGCTTTAAAAGTTGCAAATTGATATTTTTTTTTTTTTTTTTTTTTCAATTCCAATCTTTGGCAAAATGAATATAGATATTCTTGAAAGGAACTTGTAGTAAAGTAAGTTTTCAACTTAAAACTGTTCTTTGGTATGGTTAATATTGGTTAATTTTGCTTTCCCCCCTCCCAATCTCCTGTTTGATATTTTTTTTTTCACTCTGTATCAAAAACAATGTTTTCCTTATGATTAAATAGGAAGTCCAACATGGAAACTGATGCCAAAGCAACTAACATTAACCAAGCTAGTGAAAATATTTTTCATTAATTAAATTAAATATTTTGAGTATGTTGGTTATCTTCTATGTTTTAAAATGATTTATTTTAAGTAAGGTCTTGATTAATTTATTTCAGTTAATCTACTTGATTGTGGAGATTTATTCAGTAAGAAGTCTTTAGCATGAGGCTTAACAAACCACTTGTTCATTCCTTTTAATCTTTACAAAACTGTTCAAATCTTAAGTTGAATGTTTTCTTTTCTTAAACAAAAAGATGCTATATGCTATGAATATTGCATATGTTTCGAATGTCTATTTTGGGTCTCAAAAACTAGGAACTCATATGTGGTTCATTGTTAAAGATGCTAGAAAAATGTCTGGCTCATTCTAATGTGCCAAGAAGTAGCCGAATCCTTCTGCCATGTTTTATCTATACAATCAGTTTGATAAGGTCAAATTGGCAGCTGATCGAAAAAAAAAAATGAATTCAATCTGCTGTTAACTGAGGCAAGGAATGGCTTGTTAATTTTAATGCCTCCAAAACGAAACTTCTCTCTATTAATCATCTGAGAGACTTGAATCAATTGCTAGGTCTGCTGTACAGAGAAAGTTAGTTCTTTGTGTCGTGCTAGACAATTCTTCTCTCCAGAATCTATCATACATATTTATAAGTCTACCATTCGTCTATGATTTGAATATTACTGCCACATGTGGTCCAGTGCTCCTGCTATATATTTAAAGATTCTTGATAAAATCCAAAGAATCTGCAATATTATTGGTCCTGACCAGGCATCTCAGCTTCACTCATTTTCCTACCACTGTAGTGTAGCTTCCCTGTGACTTTTCTATAAATACTTTCATGGAAGAAACACAAGGAAGACCCGATAATGTCAAGCCATCCTGATGAACCCAAAGAACCTGCAAGATGCTTAGTCAATTGAAAGTAATAAAATAAGCACATCCCATCTCCCCTCTCACTTATAACCATCTGTTACTATGAAATAAAACGTTTTAACCACTAAAGCTGAATTTGTAATATAATGACACTAAATAGAAGCTTTATTTGACTCTCATCTACTAAAGATTTTTAGACATTCATATTATTTTTTACTACTGCATATATAGATTCTCATTTGCATTTATTTGAAATGGGTATTTTATGTCTACATGTGTAACTGTTTTGTATTTTAGGGCTCTCCTACTAAGGAACATCCATCACCAACCAAGGATAAGAAGAAGAAAAAGAAATTCCGTATGCCATCCTTCTCTAAAAAGAAGAAGGAAGCCAAGGAAAGCAAGGAGTAGAACTCGATGTTGTTTCTGTTGTTGTTGTTGTCGTAGGTATCAGCAGCCAGCTGGAGGTTTATGTGTGCCCCAGACACAAGTGGTACCTCTGCAGGCTTTCAGTAAGTAACTGGAGAGAGACAAATTGCCATCAAATAGATTATCACTTCACAGCCTGGACATACAATATCAGTATTGATAATAATGATCATTAATATAACTACAATAACGATTCTAATAACCCTTAGATATCGGTGATACCAACATTTCAACAACATCATCAGCTTTTGAATGGATTAAGCTTTTTTTGTACGTTTAAGACAAAAATCTAAGCAAAATTACCTTTTTTTTTTTTTTTTTTTTTTTTTTTTTTAAATTTTATTTTGCTTTAATTTCATGTCCGGGTTTATATACTACATATAAATGTTTTTCCTTTCTTCTCTTACTTTATTTTTTTATGCTTGCTATGTATGGTATTTTTTAAAAAAGAAAAAGTGGAAAAAAATACTGTCTTTTGAACCTGAAGTGATAACAAATAAAATGTGATTCATAAAGAAAGAATATAATATTCTTTAGAGTTCTGAATTGAGCTTCTGTAACTAAGAAAAAAATTAATTGATGGAGAAGAGAAGAAAAAAAAAGGAGCATTTTTACTTTTTTACTTTACTCTAGATATTTTACTAAAATTTAAGTGAATCAAATATTTGGGATTGCAGAAAATATTTAAAAAGCCATGCTGACAAATTTTAATAACAGGAAACATTAAAAATTACAAGAAGCTATTTTTTTTTCTTTTTTCTTTTTTTTCTATAGTATTTTCTGTTTTTATAATTGGTGAGTGTAGTAATTGATATTTCTTTCATGATTTAGAAACTGTCTTATCTGTAACATGATAGAGAATATGTCTACATTTATCCTTTGCTGATATTGTTGGTTTGGGGCATCAGGTGTACTTTTTGCCTCAGCCACATTTTGAGAAGCAATGGAATCTCTCACTATAGTCAGATTTTAAATAGTTAATTTAGAAAATAATTTTAAACAAAAATATTTAAAAAAAAATAGAAAGCAAAGAAATTTTTTTAAAGAATAAATGGTCAAAATTTTAAATTTGTATCGATAGAAATATAGAATAAAGTAATTATAGTTCAATAATGAAAAAAATTTTTCAAATAATGCATTCTTCCCCATTTTAATACTTTAAAAACATTTTCACTACCTCCATTTATAGGTTAAGATTTTCATTTTCTTTCTCATTCTTTTTTATAAAATTGAACAAGAAATCTGATTTTAATATTTCATTTGAAATCTCAGAAAAAACTATTTGTAAAAAAAAAAGTAGTTAAATATTATCATTCATGTTTATACATTTTTATTTTTTTAATATCGGAGGATAAAATTTCAAAATGTTCATTTGCTATGCTTAATTTTTTTTTTTTTTTTTTTTTTTTTTTTTAGAAAAAATGAAAAAAAAAATTAAATTTGGTATTTTGACAAGTTAAAGAAATTTATTGAATTTAGAACCTTTTTCTTCCCTTTAGCTGATGTGTTGCTAAAGGAAAAACCATGTGAAAATGAATCTCTGTTTTCTTTCTCCATTCTGGTTCATTCTATTTTCATATAATTCTCATTTATTCTAAATCTGCAGCAAAAAAAAAAAATATATATATATATTTTTGTTCCCATTGCCTCATTTCTTTTTCTTTCCTCTTTGATTCCTTCTCAGTCCTTCCCTTTCTTCCTTACCAGCTAATATACATACACACACAATTTTTAATAGTATTTCCTGTCTTTTGATAGTTTGATCAGTTGTTTCACTTCTGTCAATAATTTAAGTGAATTATTAAAAATACCAAACATAAGTAACTAAATGAAGTTACAAAGTAAAAATCTTAAATCATTAATGCCCATGAGCTCCATTGTTTTTTTTTTTTCTCCACTGCCTTCTGTTTCCTCCTCTTGCTGCTGCTGCTGCTGTCACTGCTACTTCAATTTATCAGTAAATGAAAAAAAAATGACATTATAAACAAACCAAACATCATTTTTATAGTTTTTATTGTTCGATGCTAATTTTTTTATTTTTCATCCCCGTCCCTTGTATTTCCTTTACTGGATGACTTAAAGTAAATTTTACATTAAAATGGTTTTGTTTTTAGATTGTATTTTAATACCTTCCTCCTTCAAAATTGTGAACTCATTTTTTTTTTTCCCTTTCATTCTGGCTACCTCTGATGGCCTGTATTTTAATCAGGAAGTCTCTTTGGTAATAGCCTGGCTTTCATTACTTTCAATGAATGTCAGAATTTTTATTTAGCTGCTTTGCTTTGGCTTCTATTCCATCATTTAGTACAATTACCAAAGAGGCAAAAACCTATATCTCCCCTCATCCTGATTACATTGTGTGAAGAGATCCAGTTAGAATTTATTAACACATACTTACGTGCAGCCATCAAGATGAATACCCTTTCCTCTCTCTTTATGAGACTTGAGTCTGTGGAATAAGGCATCACTTTTAATACTAATGAAATGGCAATAAACATTAGATAAATTAAAAAAAAAACAATTGCACTGAAGATATAAGCATAGCTAAGTACATAAAAGGGAAAAGAAATGAAGTCAATCAGTTTTTTTCTATTTTTTTTTCTTTGGCTTATTTCCTGAATATGTTTTTCTTTTTATTTCCATTAACATTTTTCTCTATTCAAAAAGTACTAAATGTAAATGATGATAAAAAAAAAATAATAAAAAAATTGCTTTAATTCTTCCTATACATACTCTTTTGCTTATTATTTCATTTGACTTTTTTATTTTTGGATTATTTTTATCTTGTTCTTTCCTCTTAGTCTTGCAATGCATATTGCTACTCTGCTAAAAACAAGGTCTAAAGCTTTTATGTAGTGCAAAGGAGATAGAAAAACGGTAATTTTGGAAACACATCCTTTCTTGCACATCTGTTTTTCTTTTTCCGCTTTATTGCTGAGTTGCTTTAGAAATGTTATATTTGCAAGAGGAGGAAAGAAAGGACCATTGAGATGCAATATTTAAAAAAAAAAATCTTTCATCCCATTTTGTATACAAATAAGACTAATAAAAAGATGTAACTAATTAGAAGCCAAGTTTTTATAATTAAAGTTAATAAGGTCTTATGATAGTTCTGGCCATTTGTTTTGTCATCATTTTTCCTTAACAATACTTATATTTTCACCTTGTATTGTCTTTATTGATGATTAAACACTTGAATATTGTACTATTCAGAACTTTTATTTGCTGAAAATTTTAAAGCAAAAGCTATACATTCTTTCTTAATTTCATTAAAATGCTATGAAAGTTTACATTATGTAATGCGTGATGGAAGAAGGGAAGTAACTTTTCAAGTTTGTCTAAATGTGTTTATGGAGAAATTATTTTGAATGAAATATTTTTCAATTGGGTGCTATTACCAATAATTTTATCTTGTTAAGTACAATAGAAAAAATTGCTGATATTCTGATCTTTCTGTATTTGGTACTTTTAAATGGTGTAATGGCACTGTGGATTCAAGTTTGCAATTATTTATTAAATATGATAATTTTCATGCCATACTGAATAATAATTTCAGTGCAATTATCAATTGAACAGTGTTAAATAATTTTGAGGTTGTATTTAACTGTATTTCTTGAAATACAATTGTCTAAACAAAAGGATGAAATGTGGAAAACTTGTGACATTCTTAATTTGACATAAATTTTGAAATGATCTTTATGGTATTAACTTTCTAAATTATTAAGAGTAACTGTTTATTTTTGTAACATTGCTCTTTTTATTTTTCCCTTAATATTTTAAAACCATTAATGAAAGTTGTTTAAATCACCTCATTAATTCATAAAAACATTAAAAAAACGTCATTAAAATAATAATTTAAACAAAAATTACTTGACCCTACTTGCCACCAGATTGAAATTTATAACTTTCAAAGTAATGATCATAATCATTAAAGCTTGAAAAGTTATTAACATCAGTTGAAACCAGTAAAAATTTTAGAAATATTAATAGTATTTTTAATGGTTAATGTAGTATGAGATTCTTAGCTAGCTTTGCTTTTGAAAACAGAAAACTTGGGGAAAGAAACATGTGACAAGAGCACTGCCATATTTACTTTTAAATTTTTTTAATTTTTTATTTTAGCTGCAAAAGAAGAAAAACTATTTTTAATTGCTTTTATGTACTTCGTGTGTGTGTGTGTACATGTATATAATAATGTAGAAGTAAATATATTCTGTTCCAATATGTGTACACACACACACACACACACACACACACACACACACACACACACACAAAAGGTGTATGTGATTAAATGTATACATTGACTGCCTATATGTACTTTCTTGAGAGGGAAATACAAGTAAGGAATGGAGTGGCCTTGAATCTTAGTTACTTTTTAACTGAGTTTATTACTTGGACTCTGTTGGAATTCTGAAAGAACATTTTTTCTTTCTTTTTTGTATTTTTGTTACCACCAAAAATGAATTTAAAGGATTACTTATAATGTATATTTATTTTTAATGGAATTTTTCATTTTACAAGGTAAAACAATTTCAGATATATTTTCAAGGTAAATTGTACTATTTAAAGAGTGATCCCCCATATTTTCCTCCTCCTTGCCAGCAGTTTTGTGATCCTGCATTTGCAACCCGACACGTTTCGTTTTTCAGTAGGATAATTCCTGCACACTGCACACAGAAAAATGGATACATGTGACTTATAAAATGCTCTCAGTTGTGTGTGCATATGCAAAAATTAGACATGTTTTTATATATATATATATATATATAATGATTATGTTGGCGTGAATGATTTTGTCCATTTTAGTGCCTCCCCAACCATTTTATTTACATTTTTATTAAATATATTTCAGCTAGCATTGTGTTTGTCGGGCGTAAGTATTGAATGTTATTTCATGTGGGAACCACACAATACCTGCTTGTGGAGAACAATGTATTTGGTTTATTCATTTGCGCTTTTATTAAAATTAAACAAAATGA